TCATTCGACTTGGTACATTAGTCCAAATCTAAAAATACCAGTCTTATGATTTTTTGCCACGCCATTCAGAAGTTAAGCCAAAAAAATATTTTTTTTTTATATCTCCTGACCACTAGGTGTCACTGTGCTGAAATGGTGCAGATACTTACAGGTAACTGTTGTTATAACACAACAAGTTTGATCTGAATATGCTTAAGCATTACAGAGATATAGCCTCACATCCATTTTGCCGTGCTCTTCGTCAAACTCATCCGCACGTTAACGAGTTAACAAGCAGAAACTAACGGTGTTCACGTCTAGTCTAGTCTGTGGATGAGCGGTGCATTCGGCTCTGTTCTGCTGCGTTCAGTCCAGCTATTTTTGGACACAGTAACACATTCTGTGTGAACGCCCACTTTCTCGTCTCCCGCTGCAGTCACAACAACAGCATCCTTATTTCTCATCATTCGACACGGATAAATCGAACATTTCCTTGGCTTGGTCTTGTTTGGTCAAACTGTTAGGGATCTAGGCTGTTTACAACACAAAAGTTTCATTTTAATTCATCAACATTTCATTTTAAAATAATTAAATTATTTAAGTTTGTAGTGCTTTATTTAAAACAATTGTTGGACTTCTGCATCCACAAATGCCAACAAACAGATCTACTCCTGGTTCATTTTGGTCAATAAATTAAATTTGAAAATTACAAAGACATGTTTAGAAGGGAACGTTTATAGAATTTTAGGACTTGACCTCAATTAAAGCCACATTTATGCAGAAATCAATTTTCTGACGTTTGGTTTTTTTCACATTTTTGAGTGATGAACTGTTGATTCATTGAACTCTACATTTCAAAAGAACTGATTTGCAGAATAAATTTCACTTCCTAACTTGTGGTCTGGTGGACATGATCGTAAAGATCCTTAAGATAAACGGACTGCTCAGACAATGTCTGGAAAATATGTTGTTTTGTGCACCAAACAGACAGCACACGTTTGAGAGCAGTTAAAGACCTGGACACGTGACATGCTATTTAAAGGCTGACAAGTGTGAGCCATGAGCTGCAGAACATCACTTCAACTAGAGCCTTATTAACAATTTGGGAACCGTACAGCACTTAGGATGAAATGTCTGCTGAGCATGAAACAAGTAAAAGTGAGCTGAACATCTGGCATCCTCTTACTAAGACCCCACTATAAACTAGCACCAGCAGATCATAAGCTCACATGCAATATGATGAGGTCATGTGACAATGATATTTTTAGTTGCATGCGGTTTCACTTAGTATTTAAAAAAGAAAAAAAAACAGTGGGCATCAGCATACAGAACATACCCAAATATTAAGCCACTCTTCTGAAACAGAAACTGATTTGTAAATCCATCTTTGCATAACTTGTCAAATTAGATTCAGTGCAACAATTTATTCAAGAGTGACTGATCCAGTCCCTCTCATGTTTTGCGTCTGAGGTCCACTGTTCGTATCCATATCTCAGCTGGCGACAGGTTTTGTGAGAGTGTGGTGTTGTTGACACAGCACAAATTCACCTGATGTGGCTTCATCTGTCAGGCAGGACGCCAGAGGACCATTAACAGATTTGACTGAAGCAGGACTCCACAATCCACTCCATAAAACGCTTTTTGTCATCCCACACGAGTACGCACCACCAACACTGAGATCTATGCAGAGGAACTTTAATTACACACACACACACACACACACACACAGAGCCAAAGAGCCAAATCCTGAACAGAGACAGACTGAATGTGTAACACAGCTCAACAGTAGGGTTGTGTAGGCTATGTTATCTAATAATGTCAACTTACTCCATGGTCTGTCTGAATACTCTATTCTGATTGGCTGGCAGGTGTGCATTAAATGCACAGGTAATTTCAAGTCAGTTTAATCACCGTTCTGTATTAATGCACTGCTTTCATTGACACACACGCATACAGAGAGATCAGAGATCACACTGCGCACACACAGAAACATTCAGGAGCCTCTGCTTTGCGTCGGGTGGTTCTTTGCCTCCACGTCAAGCATTAGAATAATTTAATGCACAGCTAGCCATGTATTATCCCTTACATGTAATATTGCTCCAAGGCTTACAACGGTTTATGAATTTAGACATTTAGCCTAAGTGTTTAACAGCTGCTTTTATCCAAAGCGACTTACACTGCATTCTATGAATGCATTTGATTTGATCAGTTCATGCATTCCCTGGGAATTGAACCCACTAACCTTGTGTTGCTAGTGAAGGATCTAAGGATTCTTTGTTGCAACCTGTGTGTGTGTGTTGCTTCAGGAGAGCAACCATACATGCTCAACTGTTTATGCTCTGAAGGTCCTATGTAGAAAATGAATGGCCAATGCTGCTGAAATAGCATGCGGTCACTGTTGAGCTCTGTATCCAGACAGAGAGCGTGATGGAGGAGGATGGGTGGACATCCGTGCCAAAATACTTGACATGTCATTGTCAATAACATTATCAACAATCTGTCTCTAGCAAAACCTCTTTAAAAGATCTCATATATAAGAGCTCCTGCTGAGCGAAATGAACAACAGTACTGACTTAGTTTGCAGTGTTTTGCATATTTACCCCAAACACATGAGCAGACAAACCCGGACATGACTCCAGTGTGTGTTCCTGTGGATCACCATCAGCAACGCCACATTCCTGCAGCTAGAGATGCTTATCGAGAGAGCGCTGAGCACAACACTGACAAACTCACACTAAACTGCTGCTGACTTAAGTCAGGCCTAAACTTTCAAATGCATCTGAATAACTCTGAAAGTCATCTGAACGTCTTTACAGAGCGTTTCTGTCACCACTGCTACAGTCTCACTGTGGCTTACATTTCTTAATAATGTACATGTGATTTTAAACCTTAAACATTTGCTTTTCTGTATCAAACGTCTTTGTTACAAAAAGTATGCTGCCTGATTTAAAGATGCATAGATATTTTGAGCTGGCTAACATACAAAACAAGGTTTTGTCAAAATAACATGAGAGATCTGTGACTGTCTTGAATGCATCAGTTGAACTGAGCTGAAAATGATCAACAAACCACTGCATGCCAACATTTTACATAGTATATGAATTTATCGCTGTCTGTTGTATCTAATCCAGCTATTACTGTTAAAAAAATAATAAAAACTTTATGAAAAATTACATTTTCCTATCAGACAAAATGTGTTTCTAAAACTAAACTTTTTTTATTTTTGTGTAAATTGACTGATCAAGTACAAACCTGAACTGCATGGGCAATGAATAACGATGAATAATTAATTCCTTACTATAAAAAAGCCACGGCTAATTATTGATTTGAGTTCAAATAGAGGAACTCATTTGTAGCAACATAAGGAAGAAGAAGAAGAAGAATATACAACTGGTTTGTGGTCTTTTACACCCTAAATTTGCCATTGAACATTTCATCATTAAACGTATTCGGTCTGAATGATTTGTTCAGTTCACTCATGCACTGAATGGTCTGAAACCTTTTTTTCCACAAAAAAATTTGCAGGAATGAGGCACTGGTTGAGGTGGATATGTATGTATGTATAATCAACTGAAACCAAGCCTGAAAACACATTTATCGTTTAACAGCTGTGTGTGCCGTTTTGTGCATATGTCTTAATTTAAATCAAAGATGAATCACTGGACATGAATCAATGTGGCAATCAATCATCAAGTAGTACCATATACTGCTGCTTATCTTCTGACAGATGGCATTTTAATTTGTTCACTTAAAAAAAATACATTGAGATTTAGGACACCATCTCTCACAATTAAAACATCTCTCATACTCTAACACATAAATTGACTTCATCGTTATTTTGCTTGTAACTCGCTACTTAAGAGAACTTTTCACTGAGCAGTCTTTTTACTCTCTCTAGTTGTTACTTTCAGTAATTATTTCTAGTAAGTGCTTGCAGCCAGGACTACTAACCCAGGCTAAAGACTGACATAACCCAGGTTAATAGAGCATGGGTTAATGATGTGCGTGATGCTACGTCCCTTCAGACACGAGTAGAAGCATTATATGAGTCACTGTTAACAATGATCAAAAACCAAAATAAACCACAGCCAAAAGCAACCAACCCATGCCCATGACATGCCACTTTGCTATTTAATTTGTAGTAACGACATACATAAACATTTTGAAACAGATTCCATGTTTCCCAGGCCACTGAGATTTTTGCATTTGTGGTTTCAGTTTGTTCATAAAGACTTATTGAATATTTCCATACATGAAGAATTACTGTAGGACTTCAAAGTGAAAACATGTGCAGGTATTACATACAAGCCCTACATCGATTATATGATGCTAACAACTATGGAAAACCAGTATTAAAAAAGCTCCTAAATCAACTTTTTCAAACTTTGGAAGATCTGGAACATTGCATACCTGCAAAGATTGCAGATGATCTCACAGTTCCTGCTGTTGACATTCACTCGTGCTGCTACAATCAAATTCCTAATCTGCATATCTTTCAAGATGTCACAAAATGACTCAAGCTTCATGATCGGACCACTCTTATACAATAGACCTTTATAATGGCGGTCATTTCTTAATTTGTGACTTGATTCAATGAACAACAATCTGTATGACTAACGACGCCCTATTAAAGAGGGACCTAAACGAAACACTAAACCACGAGTGCACAGCCTGAAACACCAATACAGCCGGTGAAAACAAACAGCCACAGACAATGAAGAGCCAAGACTAGACCTGCCTAAATGTGCCATGTTACAACCATGGTTTTGGGACATGTAGAGTGATAGTACCACGGTACTCCAAAAATACCATGTACATAGCAAGGGATGCAGGACATATAAAAACAGCATCAAAGCTCAGTCAACAGGGGACCAGCTAAACCTTCTGAAAACCACCTTGCTCAGGCTGGGAGCCCAGCTTGAAACCACCTTAAACTGGTCTGTTCAGCAGCGAAAGAACCATGGTATGACCATCACTGTTTACGTACACACTGAACCATGAGAACACGTGTGGAAACACACCTGAAGTTCACACCAGGCCACCTCCACCCAGGTGTCCGTGTCCAGGCCCTTGTAGACCGTCTTGAAGGAGCCGCGACCGATCTCGATGTCAAACTTGAGAAAGCGTCCGCCGGGAGAGGTGGCCACAGCCTTCATCTCAGCCTCCTCGTTCTCCTCACTGGCCGCCTTTATGTTAGTCTTGACGCCATCCATCGTGTCTGTTTTGAGGTCGGTTCTCTCCTTCTCCGCGTCTGCGCTGCCGCTCTCCAGCTCTTTCTGAGCCGTCTGGCTCTCCGTGCTCAATCCTTCTGGTAAACTGGATCGGATGGCCAGAGATCGGTCCACAATGGTCAGCAGGTTGATGCTGAGCATCTTATTCTGCTCCTCGCACTCCGGGTTGCAATCGTCCGCCTGGTGCTCGTCATTATCGGTGAACCACAGTCTCCTGCGGATAAACCGCTGGCGTTTGGATGACAGGTAGGAGCTGGGGTCGCTGCCGGCGCGCACCAGCGCTGAGCTCTCCAGTTTATTCACATTCCCCTCGCTGATAGTCTCGTAGATGTTGAGCTGCAGTTCACATTGAGAGTTGGGCACGGATGAAGGGCAGCAGTCGGGTTTGGGCTCCATGGTTTAAATCAGTCACAGGTTCAGTATATGCTGGCGCAGCTCAGGATTGAACCGCAGGGGAGCGGCAGCACCGACACATTTTTCCAAACATCAGCGATACACGGCCCCGCTCATCTGTGGGAACACAACATATTCATCACAACGGCACTCAAGAATCATATTCAGTTTCAGGTTCACCATAACTGCTAATAGATCTTAATATTTCTGCACAATATGCAAAATTTCTGTATGCATGGAGTGACCTGCCACATTTGCCGACAGAAAGCAGCACATGCACAAGGGTGTCTTTTTTTATTATTTGGCACTGGAGCAAATGTCCTTTTGTTTCACTGAAGACAATAATTAATCTGGGTTTGGGTGAGCTGAATGTTTAAAAAAAGTGTGCAAGTAAATTAACATGTTTTCTGCACTTTTCTAAAAAACAAAAAACAAAAAACAAAAAAAAATGCCAGGGAAAATAATACTGTTAAAATTACTAATGGTAAAGAGGCGATATTTAATATAAACTAAAAGTTTCTACATTTATTATTGGTGAACCATTTAAACTTTAAACTTGTATGCAAATTAGGTGTCATCATTAAATATGCATGCATTTGCATATTATATATACAGAACACACATAACATGGCACATCTTTTAACGCTCAATCAAGTAGGTCATTGTCAAAATGTTCCAAAATTTTCATACATAAATACATAATATAATTTTTTCATACGTAAATACATAGTTAATAGGGATGTAACGATTCACTCAACTCACGATTCGATTCGATTCACTTTTTTTTATTTTTTTTATGATATTTAAGACTAATTATAAATTAAATGTGTCCTTTTATTATTGCTTGGACAAAATGCTGTCTGGGTTTGGGTGAGCTGAATGTTTAAAAAAAGTGTGCAAGTAAATTAACATGTTTTCTGCACTTTTCTAAAAAACAAAAAACAAAAAAAAATGCCAGGGAAAATAATACTGTTAAAATTACTAATGGTAAAGAGGCGATATTTAATATAAACTAAAAGTTTCTACATTTATTATTGGTGAACCATTTAAACTTTAAACTTGTATGCAAATTAGGTGTCATCATTAAATATGCATGCATTTGCATATTATATATACAGAACACACATAACATGGCACATCTTTTAACGCTCAATCAAGTAGGTCATTGTCAAAATGTTCCAAAATTTTCATACATAAATACATAATATAATTTTTTCATACGTAAATACATAGTTAATAGGGATGTAACGATTCACTCAACTCACGATTCGATTCGATTCACTTTTTTTTATTTTTTTTATGATATTTAAGACTAATTATAAATTAAATGTGTCCTTTTATTATTGCTTGGACAAAATGCTGCACATTTCTTTGTGAAATTGAAATATAAC